TGCACTGGCTGCCAGGAGCCGAGTTCTCTGGCCAGAGTCTGGGACCCCCAGCCCAGGTTCCTCCATGCCCTGAGCACAAAGTGTGCTCCTCAAGAGAGCTTAGGGACACACAGAATGTGGTGCCTCCGTGTGTGTGTGTGTGTGTGTATGTGTGTGAGAGACAGAAAATGTGCTGGCACATGCGTGTGCATGTACACGTGTAATGCATACTGTAGCAGTGTACACATGTATGAATGACACGTGTGTGAGAGCACACATGTACATGTGTGGCCAGGGTATATACACACGTGTGTACATGTGCCAGGGTGATGTGCAAGACCATGTGTGCACACATGTATGTGCATGTGTGTATGTGTGTGCATAAGAGGGAACACACGTAAGGAGCGTGTACGTGGATGTGGCGCTCTGCCTCCTGCCCCCTCCTTACCTCCGCTCATTGCCAAACAGACGGGCCACCTCTTCCCTGCCAGGGCTCCGGGCCCGAGTCCTACGCTCCAGCCGCCTTCTCTCCACCTGGAAAGCTTCTCGGTGGCTGATCCTGATGGCCTTGGGGACGTCGGCCAGGGTGGCATACTGCCTGCTGGCTTTAAAGGCAAAGGCGCTGCCCGGTCTCTCTGTCCCCTGCCCCCCAGGGCTGGCAGAGTCCATGTGGGCGCAGGGCCGACTGGCCGTGTGCAGGGAGCCGAGGGAGGTGCTGCAGACCATCCGGCTGGGTGCTCCAGGACCTGAGGGGTGAGGGGGATGACGGAGCTCCTGGGAGGGCGACTCAGGGCAACTATACCTGTTGGTGGGGGTGCTGGGGCTGGGCGGGGAGAGTGGCGGGGGCAGCTGCTGCTCCTCAGCCTTGAGGTCCTGCTTGGTCTTCTCCAGGGAGAAGTAGCCGCTCTCCACCCGAACTTTGCGGCCACAGTCCATGCGGTCGCTGCTCATGGCGCTCTCCTCTGGAAGAGAGAGGGCGAGGGGACCGGTCAGGGTGCTGCCAGCTCTCACTGCAGCAGTTTCCTGCAGAAGCCCACCCTGGGGGCTGGGGGGCTGGGGCACAGCAGGATAAGCTGCTGCTGCGATGCCTACACCCTGTATCTGAGGGCCTGGGATCGACTCCTGCCTCTGCTTCCAATCCAGCTTCATGAGAACACCCCTGGGAAGGCAGCGGGGGAGGGCTCAGTGCTTGCGCCCCTGCCATCCACCCGGGACACCCAGATGGGAGTTCTTGGTTCCTGGCTTTGGCTTGGCCCAGTCCTGCCTATTGCAGGCACTTGAGAAGTGAACCAGCAGATGGAAGATTCTGCCTGTCTCTGTCTCTCCCCCTCTGTGTCACTCCTGCAGATTCAACAAATAAATGGCCCACATGGGATCCAAGCAGGGGCCACTGTCTATCCTCTGAGTCTAGCACCCAATGTGCGTGCCAAGTTAGAACCATGGGACGGGAACAGAATACTCTGATCATCCACTTTTTTTGGCTCATCTCTTCCCCAGTCTGGCTGCCGCCCGGCCAGGAAGACAAAACTTCTGCCCAGGACAGAGGGCTTCCCACCAACAAGTGCTTCCAACAAACACCAAGCAGGCAACCGACAACCAAGCAGGCCTCACATCTCCAAGCACATTTTGGCATGTGAGTGGCAAAGGAAGTGAGACAGAGGAAAGGGGTCTGCGCTGAGGCCGTAGCCGCTTGAGAAGGATGGAGACGCCTCTGTCCACGGCTCAAACAGAGCTCGTGCAAAGCCAGAACCAACCATCCGTTCGTCTTCCACAGAAATGGGAAGAGTCGGCCTGTGCCTCCAGGGTATGGGGCGAGGGAGGCAGAGATGGAAACACCACCCCATAGTGCAGTCCCACAGCGTGGGGCAGACTGACGCCAGCTGCTTCCTCCCAGCCCTTTCTTCCCACTCCAGCCGAGGCTGGGTGTGATGCGGGCAGAGAGGACAGCGATGAAACTGCCCTGACCACTGCTCCCGCAGGCCACGGGCCACTTGAGCAATGAGCGCCAGTGCCTAACATGCCTACAAACGCAAACACAGTGTGAGGAAGCACAGGCCTCCTCCGACACCGACCTTGATGCAGAGTGCCCTAGATCCTCCTGGCCACTGCCTTCTTCTCTTCCAGACGGGGACTAAGGCCAACACCAGAGGCCAGGCCCAACAGTCCCCAGCATCAGCTCCCGTCCACCGGGGTGGAGGCCTGCTCCAGCGCTGGACACGGGCACTGGGAAGGGCAGGCACACAGGCCACGGCCTCTGCTCACCTTCTCTGCTTTCCAGCCCTGGCTCCCGCACGGAGCTGGCAGCAGGGGCCTGGCTCTGGCTGGGGCTCTGAGCTGGACTCAGGCTGCTCCCGTCCGGCTGGTCCTTGGCCCTCATTTCTTCCTGCCACAGTGTGGACTTGGTGGTGGGGACTTTCTCTGCACTGGGAATGCTGCTGCTGCTGCTGCTGGTGACAGCCACTTTGGCAGGCCCGGGCTCCTGGGAAGAGAGAGGTGTTCACGTGGGCTCAGGAGCTGGCACCCAGGTCAGAGGCCTGGAGTCCTCAGAGAGCTCAGAGCAGGAAGGAAGCCCCTTCCCGACGGCCCTGCGGCCTCTCCTGTGCAGCCCTGGTGTCTGGAAGATGCACAGGGAAAGGCCCAGGGTTCCTGCTGGAGTCCCGTCCCCCAAATGCATGCAAGCTCTCAGCACCCTCAGAGCCCGCCAGCACCCGAGCAGCAGGCCAGGGCTGGCTCCGACTTTGCCACTCCCAGACTTCCAGGCACTGCGCACACCTGCAAGGGGCGACAGACAGGGCAAGTATGCAGTGTGCCCGAGTCGGGTCCACGCCTCTGCAGGTCCTCAGACTGAACACAGTACACCCGGGGGCACCCACGCCCTGCCAGCCCTGTGGCCTCAGCCACCCTCCATTTGGGGGTTGTTAGAAGTGAAGTGGAGCACACAGACCCCGTGGGATGCGAAGAATCACTGGATGCAAACCTGAGTGCCCCCATGGCCCACTCCCAGATGGTCGAGTTAAAATCTCAGTGCCCAGGCGGGAGGGGTGTTGGAGCTGGGTCCTTTGGGAGGCCATCAGTCATGAAGGCGGAGCCTCAAGGGTGGGATTAGCCCTTTCTACTTGCTGAGGACCAGGAAGGGCCCTCACCAGAAGCCCAGATGCTGAGCCCGCCTTGACCTTGGACTTCTCAAGCCCCAGAAATGATGGATTTATGCTGTCTATTGTTTATGAGATGTCTCAACTAGGTGTTTTGTTACAGCAGCCTGAACAGATGTGGACACCAAACACCCCACCCAACTCAGCACACACATGCGCATTCACTCATCCATCACACATGCACAAGCTCTGGCTCGCTCCCACACTCACTGCACGTGCTCTCTCACTCCCACATGTACCCATGCACTCAGTGTATGCACACACACTGCTCTCACTGCTCCCACACACATGTACAGACTGCACACCCTCTCGCTCACTCCCACACACACACAGGGGAGATGCAGACTGGGAGCTGTGGGAAGGGGTTAACTCCGCCTTTTGCTGGGTGGTTGGAATGCCACAAGTGGGGCTGCCTGGGGAAGAAGTGCTGCGGGGGTGGCAGGCACCCAACAGACACAGGGAGTCCAGTTCTGGACTGTGGAAATCCTGCACTAAACCCCACAACAGAAGAGCCCAGACGAGCAAGTGTGGGGCTGGGACCCTCGGGGCTGCAGCACAGCTCACGGCCTGGGTCTCACCACCCTGCCCGGGGGTGTGCAGAATAGCTTCGGCCCCTCCCAGAAGTGATGCCCCCCTCAGTGCTCTTGGAAGGACAGGGGGCCACTCACAAATGTCCAATGCCCTCTCCCACCCTGCTGCCAGGCCTCTTTCAGTTCCTGTTAATCTGGTATAGGAGCAGGTGTGCACCGTACCATGTAGCCTCACCTGGCCAGGAGGGGGCAACCTCTCTACCACCACACAGCCCAAAAAGGAGGAAGACTAGAAGGCAGAGAAGGCCTTGAGTAGGGCGCCTGGCCCAAAGCCATCATCAGCTTTGCAAGGTCTGCAGGCCTCACAGACAACAGAAAACCCAGAAGGCTCTCAGGCCCAGGTCGGCTGCCCAGGCAGGGCCTCTGTGGAAGCTGGCTTCTCACAAGCAGGTGGTGACGGTTTCCCGACGGCTCCAAGATCCAAGGACACCAGGCCCCTCCAGCCAGCACCAACAACCCACAGGCGGCACGCAGTCACGCTTCCCCGATGCAGTCACTCCAGGCTCCTCTGCTCTGCCCCCTCCCTGATTTGGGGTCCATCCAACTCAAAGTCCAGGTGACCAGAGGCCCTGCACCACACTGGCGGGCCGGGTGTGGGGCTCGGACTCCTCCTGCAGTGTGTGTGGGGGGACAGGACACTGTCCTCAGGAGACTGGTCCCCTCTGCAGAGGGGGAGGATGGCAGAAGTCACCAGGAGGTCCTCAGAGAAAGGGGCAGGGGACTATACTCATGAGGGCCATGTCCCTGCCCAGCGGCTCCTGAGACCCCACCCCACCCCACCCCTGCCCTCCACACGCACACATCCCTTCCTGAAGCCTGAGACCCCCAGGCTGTGCACACATTTCTTGGGGCCATGCTGCTGCACACCCTCTCCCCTCCAGCCCTCTGCTCCTGAAAGATACACCGCCGCCGGCCTCCCCAGGGCCTCCTCCGCTCGTCTGGTGGCCTGCTTTCTTCCGCTTCTGCGCTGAACTGCAGTGGGAACAAAGCCACTCCGCCTACCAGGGGAGCAGTGTGGGTGGGTGACAGGGAAAGACTTTTCTTCTTGTGAGCGAGTGGGAGAGACGTCGGCCAGGCCTACCCTGGGGCCCCTGCACTGACCACACTGCAGGGACCCGGCCCAGCCTGGGGGAGGAGGTGAAAGCCCCCCGGCCCTGTGCTGTTTCCTGGGTGGCCAGAACAGCTGCCCTGTGCGTGGCTGGCGAGGTCACAATGAAGGCGGTGCTGTCTCCCAGAGCCTCTCAGAAAGGGGTTTCAAAGCAGAGGGCAAAGAGTAAAAACGGGGTTCAGGAAAGCTGGCCCAGCTGAGGGCCCTCACCACTTCTTGGAGAGCCGAGGACCCCCGTCCAGGACAAGAGAGGGGCCGCTGACGCCCCTGGAGAAACCACATTCCTCAGCGAGCAGTGGGAACCCCTTGGACAGGGGCTGGGCTGGGCTGAGGGGAGGAGCGGGCCTCCCAGGCTAGCGCTGGCCAGCAGGCGGTCCTGCCACCTCCCTTCTGCCCTGCTCTCCACCGATCAGCCTTTCCTTCTGCCGGCGGCTCAGTCAGTGGCTCCGGAGTCCAGCGGTGCCTCTCAGGCCACAGGCTCCACGCCAGGGCTGGACCTGCCTCTTCTCTGTCGGGGGCTCTGCTGGGACCCCGCCCCCACAGCCCCAAACGTGGCCCCCTCCCAGAGGCCAAGCATCAGCGGTCCCGGAGGGCAGGGCTGAGCCCAAAGGTGTGCAGGTGGCTCCATGTGGGACCCTCAGGCTACACAGAGCCACGGAGCAAGAGGCCAGGTTCAGGGCCCTGGGCTCCGGCTGCTTCACACGGGCCGGAACCCAGGGACAGCCTGCTTGCAGACTCCAGGCCAACCTTGATGCGTCTCCCCTCTGCAGAAGCCCCGGTCACTAGGTGGCCGCCAAGAGGGAGCTCTAGGGACCTGCTGGGGCTCATGGGGGGAAGGGAGCCCGGCCCCCCGGGGATCAGCTGGCTCCTTCTGCACAGAGGAGCCTTCGGGCTGGCCGGGGGCCAGGGAGGCCACTCCTCCAGCTGGCCCACGCCTCCTGCACCACAGTTACCTTATTTGGAGGCAGAGCTCTGTGCTGTGCCATTCCCAAGGCATCACCATGGGAACACGGCTAACGCTCAACACCGTTTTTCTGCCCAAGGATTTTTTTCTCTCAAACCCAGTGGCTTTGGGGGATTTAAGTAACTGCTATTCCCCAGCTGGAAGCTCCATTTTCTGTCTCCAGAAACTACTGCGAAGGCCTATTTTGCACATCTCTCTCCAGGGGATGCTGCTCTGGGCACCCGGGGTACTCCTGGGGAAGGGATGAGAGGGGACACAGGGTGGACGTCCATCTGCTGAGGGCACGCCCAGCTGCACTGGGCTGGAGGGAGGGCCTGTGTGGGGAGGGACACAGGCTGGGCACCCTGCCCCTGTGCAGCCCACACTAGCTGCCACAGCCCGGTAAGGCAGGGCCCCACGGGAGGCAGGATTCCATCAGGGGCCGACTATCTTCACATTTGTGGGCTGCTGGCCTTGTGATGCCCAAGGGACCTCGGCGTCCACCCTGTTCACTCCTGGGGGGCTGGGACACCCTGTAGGCAAGGCCCTGGTGAGGGTAACATTTGGCATGGAGCTCAGACAGGCTCAGTGACATCCGGGCCCAGTGTGTCCTGTAGCACTCAGGGTAACAGCAATGAGGGACCAACCAGCCCACTTTGCAAATTAGTTAACTGAGGCTCAGAAAGGCTACCCCACCCCCCGGGGCCCTCGGAGTGGGGGGCACTGGAGCAGGTACAGAACCCTTCAGTGCCCTGAGGCTCAGAAAGGCTACCCCACCCCCCGGGGCCCTCGGAGAGGGGGGCACTGGAGCAGGTACAGAACCCTTCAGTGAACTGAGGCTCAGACAGGCTACCCCACCCCCCGGGGCCCTAGGAGTGGGGGGCACTGGAGCAGGTACAGAACCCTTCAGTGAACTGAGGCTCAGACAGGCTACCCCAACCCCCGGGGCCCTAGGAGTGGGGGGCACTGGAGCAGGTACAGAACCCTTCAGTGAACTGAGGCTCAGACAGGCTACCCCACCCCCCGGGGCCCTAGGAGTGGGGGGCACTGGAGCAGGTACAGAACCCTTCAGTGAACTGAGGCTCAGACAGGCTACCCCACCCCCCGGGGCCCTAGGAGTGGGGGGCACTGGAGCAGGTACAGAACCCTTCAGTGAACTGAGGCTCAGACAGGCTACCCCACCCCCCGGGGCCCTAGGAGAGGGGGGCACTGGAGCAGGTACAGAACCCTTCAGTGAACTGAGGCTCAGACAGGCTACCCCACCCCCCGGGGCCCTCGGAGTGGGGGGCACTGGAGCAGGTACAGAACCCTTCAGTGAACTGAGGCTCAGACAGGCTACCCCACCCCCCGGGGCCCTCGGAGTGGGGGGCACTGGAGCAGGTACAGAACCCTTCAGTGAACTGAGGCTCAGACAGGCTACCCCACCCCCCGGGGCCCTCGGAGTGGGGGGCACTGGAGCAGGTACAGAACCCTTCAGTGCCCTGAGCCCCTGCAGACTGGAGGGGGGCAGGGCCAGGGAAGGAACACTCATCCTGGTCACATGGGAAAGGGAAGGGGGCCCTGAGAGCCCCTTTCTAGGCCAGGTCTCTCCAGATTCCCTCCCATCCACCTGCTGCCTGGGGCCACCTCCTCCCTTGCACAGTGGCCGCAGGAGCAATGTACCCAGCAGGCGGCCCCTCTGGCACGTTCCTCCCTCAGGCAGCCCAGGGGCACACCAGCAGCTGCCCTGTCCCTGTGGCCCAAAGCATGTGGGAAGCAAGAAGGGGCAGGCGCAGGGCTGGTGACCGCCTCAGCCGCGGCCCAGTCCTCTCCCCTACCCTCTGGTTCCTTCTTCCCAGGTCCCAGGCCCAAAGAGAGGACGCCACCCAGCAGCCCAGCGCCTACCTGTGGTGTGGGCGGCTCCACTTTCCGTTTCTTCTTCTGGTTCTGCTTGTTGGTCCTGGGGTAGACCATGAGCATCTCCAGCCACCTAGAAGAGAAGAGCCAGGACACCAGGTGAGACCCCGGCTCTCAGGGACTATGACACCTGGCCCTGCTGCTGGGGGCCAGGCTGCCGGGCCTCGGGCAGCACCAGGCATCACCCCAGATGGAAGTGCCTGCAGGGCAGACTTGGCAAGCGCAGGCCTAGGACGTGGACTCCACGCTGGCAGGGTGCAGGCCTGACCACGGGTCTTGGGGCAGTATGGGAGGGCATGGCGATGCTGTCCCCAGGGCCTGGACTTGCCTCTAGAGCAGCCCTTCCAGAGTAGATGTGGGTGGGTACAGAGGGGCTGCAACTGGCAGCCACCTGGGGCTATCAAGGCAGATGCTGGCCCTGAGGCAGGAAACCAGGAGTCGCACAAGTGAAGTTCTCCGTGGTGGTCACCCGGGGGGAGAGCAGCTGATCTCCCAGGCTGCATCCTACACAGGGCGGGTACAGACACCCCTGCACTGGGAAAGTCGGAGAGGGCTGCTCAGGGAACCCCCAGGGCCCCTGTGTTGGAGGTGCGCTCGGGGCCAGTACGGGGCAGGGCGGGGCTACTGGCAGGAGGCTGTGGCTCCGGATCCGCTCTGCTGACCAGCTTCTCAGGGCTTTATTCCCAGCATGTCTGAAATCAGGCCAAGGTCCACCGTGATCACTTGATGAGATTTTATGAAGGACAAAGGAACGGAACAGGGGTTTGCTCACTGGGGCTTCGTACCAGTCCTGGGGGGCTAGAGGAAGTGGTGGGAGGCGTGGAGCGAGGAAGGGCCCTGTCCTGGAAGCTGGCTCCAGCCCGGGGTCTGGGGTGGCCAGGTGGTCCCCACACTCTCTTCAGAAGAGAAGGTAGCACAGGCCATGCCACTCCAGGTCCTCCTCAGGGCACCCAGGAGCATGCTGAGCAGGCCTAAGGGGAAGGCCTCGTGTCGCCTGCGTCAGGAGGCAGAGAGAGGCTCCCTGGCTGACGCTGACGTCCAGGGAAGCCGGGCGTGGCACAGGGGCTGCCCTCAGGCAGCTCAACCCAAGGACAGTTAACGCTCCATTGGCTCAGAGAATGAACGGACAGGACAGCCAGGTCAGATTCGGGCCAAGGTCCTGCAGGATGCTTCTCCACGGCCCCAGAGCCAAAAGGCAGCAGCCTGGGCCCTGGGCAATCTCCTGCTCCCTCCTCTTCACCAGCGCTGGCCAGGAGCAGAGCACGGGAGAAGCTAGCACAGGAACCGGGCAGGCCCGTGATGTTGGGGTGCCTGGCAGCCTGCAGTAACAGCTGCCGTTCCTGCCAGGCATTCCTGAGACCCACGGACAGGCCTGACACCGTCGCTCGGCGTCACTAAGGAACTGGCAGCAGGGCCTGAGGAGAGGAGAGGGCTCGTCACAGCACTGCCCACTGAACAGAGCGGCTGGGCTCTCGGGAACGGGACAGAGTATGTCCTCGGCACTTGGGTTGTCATGGAAGTGTCTAGTGTCACCCAGATGTGTCACAAATATAATGTAGTGAAGAGAGGGGGTTGAATGTGGCACAGCTGTGGGCACCAGACCCCCAGCTCTGGGGCTGAGCCAGCTGAGTGAGCCAGGGTGACCAGCTGCTGCCGCAGGTCTGCTCCAGGAAGAACTCAGGAAGCAGGCTGGGTAGGACTCTACCGACTCCCACATCTCCTCACCCCCTGACCTAGGACTTGGGCTGGGTGATGGCTCCCTGGGCAGCAGCAGAGGTGAGCCAGGAAGTGCAGACCTGGAGGGCACCTGCAATGGGTAGACATGGTTTGAGGGGCCCCCGGGGCTTCACAGATTAGAATTTAGTACCCAATCCAGGCATCAGAGGGTGAAAACTGAATCTGACTCAGGAGGTGGTGGGCGCTGGCGAGGTCCCTGGGTATTCACACCTGAGTCTTGGTCACGTGGTGTAACTAGCTGGCTAAAATTTAGGCAAGACGGAACTCATACCCCTGCAAAATGATGCATCCCAGGACCATGTTGGTATCCAATTGGGGTACCACCCCCTTTCCTGTAAGAAGAGGCGGAATTGGGAGGGGGCGCTCTTTCCCCCTTGGACCTGCTCACAAGCACAACCCTAGTGTCTTCCTATACCGTCTCGGGTGCACCTTCCCTCGGCTGAGTCCCGTCACACGGGCCTCTCCCACTCAGGTGCCATTTGCCTGTCTCTCGTTTACACACTACTCTTTGCACACATGTTGGGGGTGGCCCACACTCGCTGCTACCAGCCTCTGCTTAGTATCTGCATCTGTGCGGCAGGTGAGGACCCGGATCAAACCTCTGTATAGTCATCGCCCACACCATTGGGGCTTCATACGCGGAAGCAGTGAGCAGAGAAAGACGAGCACCCTGTCCCTTGCCGTGGAAGCCCTGGGCTACTGGGGACCCTGCCAGCAAGAAGGCCCCCCACCCCAACTCAGCCTTGCAGCAGCTCCGGAAGCACGGGCATGGGGAGCCCCGGCTCCTCACAGTTTGCCTGTCGGTGGTACAGGCGCCCAGAATGGACTGAAGCGCCCTCTGGTGTGGGCCGAGGCCACACGCGGCCGGTTCTGGACTAGGGGAGAGATGGAGATGCTCCCCTTGTTTGTCCCAGGCCTTGGGACGTGCGTGCTAAGGGCTGGCGGCAGAGGGCTCTGCTGCCCCTCACTCAGCTGCCAGGGTTGGGGCTGCTTCAGCGAGGCAGTGCTCTGCGTCTCCCGTGTGCCTGCGCCAAAGTGCTCTGCGCTGCGGTCATCAGCCTGTGGCCCAGACGTACTCTCTCCCCAGGGCTTCCGAATTGGCCTCACCTGCCTCCTTCCCAACCTGAAAGGGCACCAGTGGACTCCCTGGGACCTGGGTGTACCACACACAGCCCTCCATCCCGGACCAGGCTGCTAGGAGCTAACGCCCTGCTGCTGGGCCAACTGCCCCGGGAGGCAGATGCTGCTGTGAGCTCAAGGGGGCCGGGCTCGTGCCCCCCGGAAGTCAGCTGCCTTAAAACCTGGCCCCCTTCCACACTCAGGCTTCCCAGGCCTGCACACGGTGGGGGCGGGGTGGGGGGACAAGATTCATTCATTCCTCCTACCTGGCCAAGGAAGTCAGGCTGAGCAGCAGCAGAGGGGCGGCTTTCTGTGTGAGACCAGGACGTGCCCGAGGCCCACACACGAGCCAGGTGGGACCCCAGGTGTGCATGTGTGTGCATGTTGATAGTGGAGAGACATGGCAGCCTGGACACGGGAGCAGCCTGGTGGCCGTGAAGCGTGAGGTGAGGCCCAGAGAGCAGACACACCTGGGAAGCCTGCGGCGCCGCGACCCGACACACCGCGGCTGCGCATGAGCACTCACCCACTGATGGTCTCCTTGGTCTCGGCCCTTATGAAGTGCTCCTTCTCAGGCGTCAGGATGCACAGGGAGGACTTCTGGCCGGTGCGGCCCTCGCCGTCCACCACGTCCGTGCACTGGTTCATGTTGATGGTGCCTTGCGGGAGGGTCGTGGGCTGTGGGAAGACAGCAGAGTCACAGAGAGGCCAGCAGGAGCCACGCCCATCCTCAGGTGGCCCTCCCTCTGTGGAGAGCAGCACCCCAGCTTTGCCTGCAGGACGGCACGGGGAGATGGGCGACCGAGAGTCCAGCCTCAGGGGAGGGGCTGCTGACCCAAGAGCGCACTGAGACAGCTCCAGAGCAGCGGTCTCCAAGCAGCAAGCCTACCCGAGGAGCGAGGAGAGGCTGGAGAGGAGCCGCACCCCCGAGCGCCAGCTGGGGGTGGGAGGGACGGAACCAGGCACCTGCCCCGCCAGCGCTGACACAACACACCCTAACCTCCCTGACAGCCAAAGCTATAGGCCACTGAAACCAGGAACAGAAACCCAGAGCCAGGCTTTCAGAGATTCCCACGGGGTTCAGGCCAGACCAGGGGAGCCTCCTAGAGATCTGCTAGCTGTCGATGCCTGTACTCCCCAGAGGTGGGGATGCTTTGGCGGGGGTGGGGGACGCACGGTGGCCCTCCCAGGACCCTGTCCCCTCCGCCCTCTGTGCTGAAGGGGCCACAGGGATGCCATGGCCTGCAGGGCCCAGATGCCCAGCAGCCAGAGGGAGGGCAGGCTCTGAGTCCACCTGCTCTGGGGCAGCTGGCAGCCCCGCTGCGGGGCTCACCAGGAGCCTGCCACTTCCTGGGTCTCATCCCTGGAGAAGCAGTGTGGAACTGGGAGAAGAGTGGGATGGTTGGGCTATCCCTCCCAGGGCTCTAGGGGTCCCTACCCCCTACCACCAGTGGAGGGAAGGGTCTGACTCACAGAGCAGGGGGCTGGGCCTGGCACCACACACCACACACCACACACACCCCGGTTCCTCTGTCAAGCTCAGGTTAGGCACAACCTCCCCAGACCCCGGCAGCTCAATCCACCTCATCTTCCTGCCATTTCCATCCAGCTGGCCTGTGGGCATCTCGACTCACCTGCACCTGCCTGAAGCCCACTGGAGGGCTCTGTGAGGCAGACCCTGCTTGCCACACACTGTGTGGCAGGGCCTGACTCCACCCCAATCCTTGGGCTCACGGTGTCAACAATGCCAACAGCATCTTATCTGTGCCATGGTGTCAGCAGGTTACCAACACCACACACACCACACACACACAGACGAGTAACATCTGTCAACAGCAGCGCTGACGGGGGCGGAATGGTGGTGGCACTGCGGCATGACAAGGTGCGCAGCCACCTCCAACACCAGTGTCCTATATGGGGGCAGGGTCGGGTCTCCACTGCTCTCTTCTCATCCAGCTTCCTGCTAATGTGCCCAAGAGCATGGGCCCCAGAACTCATGTGAGAGAGGCAGATGAAGTTCCAAGCTCCTGGCTTCGGTCTGGCCAAGCCCCTGGCCACTGTGACCATTTGGAGAGACCACCAGCAGATGAAAGATCCATCCCTCTCTCACAATCTGCCTTTCAAACAAGTAAGTCTTTAAAACAAAGAAACATCCTATTGTAAAATCAGATGAACTCATTCTCCACTAGCCTGGCACCAGCTGTCCTTAACATCAGCTCCGTGGAGGTGTAATACACACACACACACACACACACACACACACACACACACAGAGCGATGATAACCTGGCTCACTCACAAAGACCGTGGCACATTTCCACCGCCCTCCTGAGAGTCGGGACCACGAGTAATCACAGAGGCGGCAGCCACCAGTCCATGCACGGATGGAGTGCGGGCATCTCACAGAAGCTGAGCTTCCACGTGTCACTTCTTTTGTGGCCCATGCCTATTCCCTGGTGCGGACAGAGCACACTGTTCAGTCAGCACTGACAGAGCCCAGTGGTTGTGAGTGGCACTGCTGCTCATGTGGACACGTGCCCACATGCATCAGTCTCTGAAGTGCTGCCAAACCATTTCCCAAAACAGCTACACCGCTGTATGTTTGCCCCAGCAATGCAGACAGGATCTGCTGGTAACTTAAAAAAATGCTGCCAACTTCTCATTTGCTCATTCTTTTTTTAAAAAAAGATTTATTTATTTGAAAGACAGAGGGAGAGAGAGAAAAAGATCTTTTAGCTGCTGGTTCACTCCCCAGATGCCCAAAACAGCCAGAGCTGGGCCAGGCCTGGAATGCCACCCCAGTCTCCCACATGAGTAGCAAGAGCCTGAGCACTTGAGCCGTCTGTACTGCCTTCCCAGGCCAGGAGCGGGGAGCTGGACAGGGAAATGGAGCAGCCAGAGCGCGAACCGGTGCCCACTTGGGATGCTCCCATTACCCGTGAAGGCTTAACCTGCTACACCACACCAGCCTCCTGGTGGTGACTTTTTAATACGGCTTCCAAGCGGTTCTCTCTGCCCCTGTCACAGTCCTCCGATGAGGACTGACACCTTCCACAGCTCAGCAGGGCCACTCAAGAGCGGTGACACAAGCCCTAGCTCCTCACCCTCTCCCAGACACCCACAGCCCCGTGCGAAGGCACCACTGACACCCCAGGGACTTCTCCAAGCTCACAGTGCAGGAAGCAGCAGTGCAAGGCTTGCATCCTTGGACTCTGGCTCTGGGATTGGCCCTTTCACTACTCCACACCAGCTGTGTCTGTGGGGCTCACCCCCAGGGTTTCCCAATACCCCCTAGATGGGGCTGCTGCCCACAGTTCAGGCCAGCACCTGCCCATCTGCGTTCTCAGCACAGAAGAACAGGATATTCTCAGGACAGAACATGTTCCAGGGACCAGTGCTGTGATGTAGGGGTAAAGCCACTGCCCACAGTGCCAGCATCCCACACGGGCACCGGTTAGAGTCCCCGCTGCTCCACTTCCAATCCAGCTCCCTGCTAATGTGCCTGAGAAGGCAGTGGAGGATGGCCCAAGCACTCGGGTCCCTGCAGCCGCATGGGAGACAGGGAAGAAGCACCCAGCTCCTGACTTCGGATCAGCACAGCGCCGGCCATGGCGGCCATTAGGGGGGTGAACCAACGGAAGGAAGACCTTTCTCTCTGTCTCTCTCTCTCACTGTCTATAACTCTCTCTGGCTCACTCTCTCTCTCTCTCTCACTGTCTAACTCTGCCTGGCAAAAATAAAAAAAAAAAAATTTTTTTTTTTTTTAAAGGAGAGGAGAGGGGAGAGGGGAAAGAGGAAAGAGGAGAGAGGAGAGAGGAGAGAGAAGAGAGGAGAGAGAAAAGAAAAACTACTCCAGCAAGGCCCGGGCCCTGAGCTGCAAGGGCAAGTATCTAGGCTGTAACCCAAATCCAGCCAGAGAGTGCGTCTGCCTCTGGTGCTGGCAGCAGTGACGTCAGCTCCACAGAGCTCTCTGCCCTAATTCTACACCTCCAGGGGTTAGGAATCCAGGTCTTCAGAGGCTGAGCATCCAGTGGTTTTGATTCATTCATTTTCCAAAGGAGATGGCCATTCACAGGCTATGGACCCCACCACCATCGCACATTACGGCTTCCCTGGTTCCTGCAGCCACAGCTAGGATGGCAGAACTGCTACCAGGAGGGGACCACACGGGAAAGTACAAGACAAGGTCTCTCTGCAAAGAGGTAACACACCCAGCCAGGAGCCTGGCCCTTCCGCCTGTCCTACACCTGCTCACCCACAAGAGCAGGAAGCTCTGGTACCCTGCGGCCAGGTGACCTGTAGGCAGCGTCACCGTCACAGTCCACAACACAGTGGGACCGGCCCGGCCACACAGAGCAGCCCCGACGCTGTCCTCATCCAGGCCGTGTCCACACCACACTGCCTCCTGCAGAAGGCGGCCCTGGTTCTGCACCCCTCTCCAGCCATCAGCAGCCCCGTGGGAACCAGGAAGAAGCCTGGCCAGCTGGGTCTGCAGGCTGCAGCCACTGCACAGGTTGGGGAACCTACTCGCTGGGTCAGCACAGGCTGGGGTGGCCTCCCACAGCGCCCGAGGCCTAAAGCACCCAGCCCTGGAGTCACGGCCTGGCTCTGTGGTCTCGGCTGAATGGCAGCTCTTGGGTCTGAGTCACCACAGACGTAAAATGGGGTGAAACGGCATCCCATCCAACTGCTAACTGGCGTCGCTGTCTGGGACAGCCTGGCGCCTGATCCAGCGCCCAGTGTAGACAGCGCTGGCTGAGCAGCGCTACTCACAACGGCCACAAGGCGGGAATGACCCAGATGCCCAGCAGCGGGTAAGAGAAGACACGTGATGTGTTCTGTCCATAAATGGAACGCCAGCCAGACGAAAGAGCGAGCACTGACACAGCCTGCGACATAAGCGACCCTGAAAATGTGAAGCAAGCAGAGTTGGAAGCCAGGAGCAGAGGACGAACATCATCTGATTCATCCAACAGGAGCCCTTAGGAGCAGGCGGCTCCAGAGCCGGCACCGGGTGGGGCAGGGTGCAGCAGGGGCAGTAATGAACAGCCACACGTGTTTTTCCTCACCTGGTTAGAGCTATCCTGAGACCAGAAGGGATGCCGTTCCCGGGAGGCGAGGGCCCGACTGGCACCCACACAGCCCACCGAAGCAAGGGCAGTCAGGAGACATATTTGGGGCACCTTCAGGGGCGTGCACCACAGGGACACAACAGGGTGGAGGCATCATGGACCACCAGCTGTCCCGCTGCAAGGGGAGGGGAAGCGAGGCTGCTGTGGGGACAGGCGCCAGCTGCCTGCGCTCAGATGCCAAACGGGGATCTTGAGGACAACTGGCCCTGCTGAGTGGCTCCTCTAGGGCAGAAGAGTGACCTACACACCTGTATGCATCACACATGACCCTGAGGTTACCTAAAAGACAATGACTCCCTACACTTACAACAAAACAAAGTCCTGCACACATCAGAGCCCCAGGGTTTGAATCCCAGCTCTGCTCTCAACTCCAGCTTTCTGCTAATGCCCCTTGAAAGGCAGTGGTGATAGCTCCAGTGCCTGGGCTCCCACCACCCACATGGGAGACCTGGGAGTTCTGGGCTCCTGGCTTCAGCCTGGCCCAGTTCTTGCTGTTGTGTCCATTTGAAAAGCTAACCAGAAGGAGGAAGATATCTCTGTCTTTCAAACAGAATGAAAATAATTTTTTTTTTTTAAAGTAAAACACTGCACAGAGCAGAAGACAGCCACAGGCCCCGCAGCCTGGAGCCTAGCCTGAAAGGACTGCGGGGCCTGCCCCACATCCCAGGACTGGCAATAAGACCCAGCTGCCACCACCGTTTGTGACAGGAGCAGCCAGGGTCCTGACAGTCTATCCACAGGGCTCTGACCACAGCCTTTTGGCTAAGATCAAGTGTAGTATCTATTCTTATCAGCTTAAAAAGATTCAGCCCTGTGCCAGTTCGATACCTGACTGCTCTACTTCTGATCCAGCTCCCTGATAAAGACCCAGAAAAAGCAGGGGAAGATGGCCCAAGTGCATGGGCTCCTGCAACCCATGTGGGAGACCCAGAAGAAACTCCTGGCTCCTGGCTTCAGCCCAGCCCCACTCATTTCAGCCAGGTGGGAGTGAACCAGTGGATGGAAGATCACTCTCTCTCTCCCCCTCTCTCCAACTCTTTCAAATAAATAAATAAAACCTAAAAAAAAAAAAAAAAAAAAAAAAAAAAAAAAAAACCTGTTCAGCTCCTGTCCCACTCAGAGGCACCTCGGTCTTTGTGGATTAACAGGTTAAGCTGTCATCTGTGATGTTGGCATTCCAAATGGGTGCTGGTTCAAGTCTCAGCTGCTCCACTTCTGATGCAGCTTCCTGCTAATGACGTGGGAAAAGCAGCAGAAGATGGACCAAGTGCCTGGACCCCTGCACCCACAAGGCAGACCTGGATGAAGTTCCTGGCTCCTGCCTGGCCCAGCCCTGGCCACTGTGGCCATTTGGGGCGTGAACCAGCGGATGGAAGATCAATCAAGCACTCTCTCTCCCCCTCTCTGTAACGCTGCCTTTCAAGTAAGTACATCTTTAAAGCAAAGGAAAGGGACGCCCTGGGATCTCCGAAGCACCTGTCTCCGAAGTCGATAGAGAGGGAGCGCTGGTACTCAGCCAGCCCCCTGGAATGGTGGTGGGTGGGCTGTGCCTGCGGCCGCACATACAACAGTGGTCTGGGAGGCGTTCTGGAGCGGTGCAGAAACGACCCATTCAGGGCTTTCGGGGGGTGTTATCAGAGCCAGCTAAACCCATTTTTTCAAGAAAGAACAGAACACAAGGACCCTTTTCACTTGCTGCCAAGACCAGGAAGTTCCTTTGTACACCTGCTGTGCCAGACCCGCCTGCTGGCCGTTGCTGGCTGGGCAACAAGATGCTCAGGCCCCTCCACGGGGCCAGGGGCCTCTGCCAGGGGAGCTGCCCCTGGGAAGCCCTCGCCTGCCTGCCACGGCCCACCCTCCTCCAACCAGGGAGCAGGGCCTCACAGCTGACTGGCAGGCTCTGTAAGAACCACGAGTTCGCTACACCCCAAGGCAACAATGACCTCAGAATGGGACAAAGACCTCAGTGTAAGAGCAGCTGAGGGAAAAGCTTCATGACAGTGGGCTTGGCGATGATTTCTTGGCTATGACACCAAAAGCACAAGCAACAAGAGAAAAAAATAGGTAAGCTGGACTTCATCAAAATTCAAATGTCTGTACATCTAAGGGTGCTATTAAGAGAATGAAAAGGGAAGCTGTCCAAGGGAAGATACCTGCGAATCATATCCCTAGCACAGGACCAATACCCAGAAGTTAGAAAGAACTCTTAAAACAACAAGCAACTACAAAATGGGTACGGGCACAGGTGCTGTGGCACAACACATTACGTGGCTGCTTGGGACACCCACGTCCCATACTGGAGGGCCTGGGTTGAGTCCTGGCGGCTCTGCTTCCAATCCAGCTCCCTGCTAATGCACCTGGGCAAGCAGCCAAGGCGGCTCAAGGAACTGGGCTCCTGCTACCCGTGTGGGAGACTGGGATGGAATTCCCAGCTCCTGGCTTCAGCCTGGCCCAGCCCTGACCATTGCAGCCATTTTGTGAGTGAACCAGGGCATGGAAAAAAAAATCTGTCCTTCTGCTTTTCAAGTAACAAATAAATTTCTTAAAAAAGGGCGGTGGGGGGGAGACAAAGGATGAGTAGATAATTCTACCAATGAAAAGACATTCAAATCTCGGTCATTGGGGAAGTGCAAATCCAAACTACACAGACAGAGAGTGCTTCACGCCCACTATGGTGGGATTAAACACACAGTCAGAAAGCAGAAAGTGCTGGTGAGGAGCCCGTGCAGAGGTTCCTGGGAACGGAACCTGCCCCGTCCAACATGGATTTACTCTATTATCGAGCAACTCTATTCTGAGTGCATACCCCGAAGAACCGAAAACCAGGACCTAAACAGGCGCTCATACATCCACATCCACACTGCAAAGCTCACAACTGCCAAAAAGGAGAAGCAACACACCTGTCCATTACAGATGAACGGGGTGTGCACCACGGGCAGACAGCACGTCACCTCACCAGAGGAGAGACTGTACACGCGTGTAGATGGCATGCTAGCCTACCATAGAGAGAAGTGAGACTGTGGTCACGTGCCAACAGACACTCATGAAAACATTATGCCGTGGGACAAGCCAGTCACCAGAGGGCACACACTACGTATGCCACGGCCACGTGGTGCCAGGAAGTCAAATACGCAGACACAGAGCAGAGTGGGAGCTGGCGTGTAACAGGGACAGGGTCCCACTCAGGAAGATGCAGAGCTGCCCGGCACGTGGACAGACTCAGTGTCCCTGAACTCCAAGAAGCGGTTCAGACGGTAACTTCTCTGTTGCGCATAGCTGAGACCCTCGACACGGCCCACTGTCCAGGCCACTTTGGAACCCCAAGTCGGGACAACAGCAAAAGTGGTGGGCACAGAAAGGGAACAAGCAGCGCCTCCAGGCCAACACACAGATGCCAGTATCCAGACTGCCTCTGGGCGCTCCCCACTGGCAACAGAACAGAGGTCCTGACCAGCATGGGCTCCCCCTCCCCAGGGGACCCAGGCCCCGCACCACAGCTCAAAGTGAGGAAGTGACCACATGTTGACGGAGCAATGGCTGTGCTGGGCACGTGGTGGTCCCACAAACCACACCCAAACCAGCACCACGAGGCCCTTCCACCTGAGCCCCACACCCTGCCTGATTCACCCAGAGCCTGGAAGGGGACGACCCCAGCGCAGGACTGAGAGACACCTGCCTCCTGGTGAGACGTGGCCCCAGTCCCGCCTCCAGCTCCACTCCACACCTCTAGTGGGGTGGGGAAGGAGTCTTCACAGTCCCTCACACGTCACTGAAACTATGGGGCTTTTGGGGTGCAGCTGGCTCCTTACCTGGGCTTGTGTCGTTGGACCAGAGCCTCCCACGGTCCCTGTGCTGACGGTGACCAACAGAAAAGGAGAGGCGGGGCTGGCGCTGTGGCACAGTGGGTTAACACTCTGGCCTTAAGCGCCGGCATCCCATATGGGCGCTGGTTCTCCAGGACTAGAACCGTGTGGAAGCTCCACTTCTGATCCAGCTCTCTGCTATGGCCTGGGAAGGCAGTAGAAGATGGCCCAAGTACTTGGGCCCTACACCTGCATGGGAGAACCGGAGGAAGCTCCTGGCTCCTGCCTTCGGATTGGCGCAGCTCCGGCCGTTACGGCCAATTGGGGAGTGAACCATCGGATGGGAGACCTCTCTCTCTGCCTCTCTTCTCTCCGTGTAACTCTGACTTTCAAATACATAAATAAATCTTAAAAAAAAAAGAAAAGAAAAGAAAAAGAAAGGAAGGAAGAAAGAAAGAAAAGGAGAGGCACAAGCAGGCTAGGGTGGGGCTGGAAGCTCACAGGGGCCGCGTGGAGGGGAGGGAGGCCAAGGCTTCCGGACAGGCTGCCTGGTGGGCCTTGAACAGCCCTGGCAACACAAGGGCTCCGACTATTACAGACGGGCAAGGCAAGTCTGTGGTGGGTGCTACAGTGCTTGGGCAGCAGCAGTCGGAGCTGGGATGTGTCCTACCAGCCTAGGGGAGGGGGGACACACAAAGGGATCCAGGTGAGTCTTAAGGGGGAGAACAGGGCAGCCAGGGACGACTCTTAAGGTTCTGGTCCCTGCGTGGGCTCAGGGGGACACATGTGGCCGGCTTCACCCTCCTCTGTCCCGTGTGGGATCAGGGGGACATGAGTGGCCAGCCTTACCCTCCCCTGCCCTGAGTGCTGCTCTCAAATGGCCTTGCCCATTCTCTGGATGCCATCCCTGCCAGCACAGCAGGGCTTCTCAACAAGGAGCACAGTGAGGGTGGCTTGGGGATGGGGTGCACATAGGAGAGGACTTGACAAGACCGGAAATGATGGAAACTGGGTCACAGGAGGGAGGAATGGGGGGGTCTCTGGGGAAGCCCCACAGGCAGACAGGAACTAGAGCTGGGGATACAGGACAGCCCCCCCCCCCCCCGCAAAATCATTAATTCCAAGGCATCCATCAGAGGCCAGGCCCAGGCCCAGGGGCCACGGGCAAGAGTGATGTGCGGCCCCTGCCTGGGATTGCTCACAGTCCAGAGGGAAAGAGGGTGGACACTACCACTAAACAGAGGTGCAGTCACAGCGGCCAGGAGCCGAGAATTCGACCATCTGAAGGCTGCTCGTGCACGAGGACAGGACCCGTCCTGCAAGGTTCTGGCGGGAAGAGCCAGGCCCAAAGAGCAGGGGTGCGGAGGACAGATGAGGGAGTGGATCTCCAGGGCTGTCTCTGGTCCCCATGTTGTGAGGCAGCGCCATCTCCACTGCAGACATGCACCCCACTCTGAAAAGCAGAGTGGGAGCAGGCCCTGGGCACGAGGGTTTAGATAGCAGTTAAGATGTCTGCGTCCCATATCCCAGCACCTGGTCTGTCCCTGGCTCTGGCTCCTGACTCCAGCTTCCTGCTAATGCGCACCCCGGGAGCCAGCAGTGCTGGGGTCCCTGCCACCCAAGTGGGAGACCTGGACTGAGTTCCCAACTCCCAGCTGCGGCATGGCCCAGCTCCGGGGAGTGCAGCAGCAAACGACAGCTCTCTGTCCCTCTGTCCATCTACCTCTCAAATAAACAAAAGAAAAACACCCCTAAGGCCAAACTGGCTGTCAGTAGCAGTCACTCACGGGGAACATCCCTGTCAGGCACCTGCTATGCACCAGTACTGCCCCAGGCTGGGAACACGGCAATGAAGTGAGCTGACTAGACCCTGGCCACAGGAAGCTGACCGTCCAGTCTCAACACCAAGGCAGATGGTGCGTCCAGGGACGTGAGGCCGGGAGAGGCGGGAGGGAGGTCAGGCTGCTGACCTTGGGAAAGATCTCTGTGGACAGAAGGCAAGTCCAGCAAACGCATGACCCCACCAGAAGATCCTAGTGCAGGTCTAGGAACCAGGGGAATGGGGAGGGCAGGAGGGCCTCCACGTGGGCGCCAGAACCAGGGACACCCATCAGCCCTTAACTCAGAACACACAGACCGAGTTCTGGCCGATGCTCCTAGCACGTTCTCCCATGCTGCCCTTCCCTGGCTCCTCTGCAGAGACAGAAGAGAGGGACCTGGACACAAAGTTCAC